GTAATCAGGAAATGGATAGTAATAGTCTTCGCGAAGAATTCTTCTGGGGCACTATTACTTCCTTCAAGTTAACACATAAATAACGCCTGCAGCTCTACGCAAAGAACTCATATGCTAATACTAGTAGCATGTGAGCTCTTTGTGTACAGCTACAGATGGTCATAGATAATCTCTCTTATCACAGTCAATCTTATCTGGGCTTTTTCTTAGGTCACACTACATATTTAATAATTAATTTACATTTTACAGAAGTGAGCATTTGAAATGAGCTGGTGAGCAGAGTCGAAGAGGCTAATCTTGCAGAGTAATTATGATTTTTGAAGTAGGAGACGTGAGAAATGTGCAATGCCCTCGCTGGGCTCTCGAGTCTGAACCACTCGAATACTCGCCGAGAATGCTACCGTTACAACACGAAAGCATGCTGGAAAGGAGGAAGAAAATACCTTATAACCTATTAAGCATATTCGTTCTAAACATTACACGTAGTTTCTCAAAAATGCTAACATTATACACTCATAAAGATAAACTATAGATAGATGACTAAATATGTCTCTCCTCAAATTTTTTTTAACACTGTGAAAAAACATAAAGATTTCGGGAATTACAAAATTATTATATTACGATGAAAATTACAATTCAGTTTCTTAAAAGATCGAAAACTGGTAATGATATAAAGTGTAATTCGTAATTATTGTCTCATAGAATGTCATAAAGTGTATTTTAGAATTTTGGAAAGAGTAGTTTAACTGCTCAGTTCGAAAATTACTTCGATCTCCAGTACCTGCTGATTACTGAATTCATTACAATTTTCTGCATACATTTCAGCAGAAAAAAATTCCCTGTAATAAACAAGAGTTATGAATGCCACAAACGGGGTACATATTAAAATTTGCGAGCCTGATGCTTAACTACCGCGCTGTCATCATATTCCTAAAGAAAACTTACATTTGAGGCCAGGGTGTTAACGGCTGTATTTTACGAATTAAGGCTTGACGAATGTAAAAGGAGGAGTCCCGATATTTCTGATCTACTTTCACTGGAAAAACACTTGATTGAATTTTAATGGTAAATCACATGTTATGGATTTACCATTAAAATTCAATCAAGTGTTCAATTTACCATTAAAATTCAATCAGTTCTTTTAAAACTTCCTAATCAACGTCAACCAACGTGCGCAATGTAAACAATGTTATCTTCTCTCGACTGAAGATTCCTCTGCGTAATTGCCCATCATGCTCAGAACCACTTTTCAACAGGTCAGTAGTCCACCCGATAATCACTTCAGCAGACATACAGCGATGTATGCCCGAGTGTGGGAAGCCCAGATTGCGGTGTTTCGCCCAGCCAATTCCTTCCCTAAGGCTCATTGTTCTAGTAAAATCTGTTTTCGATTAACAACCTTTTCCGGTTTATTAGCTTTTGATTCATCTTCCTAGTTTAAATTAGAATTTTCCTTAAAACCTTGGCAAGAGGTTTTTTTCTATCTAATGGTAAACATTAAAAAAAATTAAGACGTGTTTTATTATTTTAATCTTAACATTCATATCCGCTATTCAGAAATGGTCCATAGCAAACCATACAGCCATATACATCTGTTCACAAAAAATCAATATAAAAGTCAAAGTAAAAAAAGAATTAACAGAATTGTAGATGTGATTTCTACTTTTTGCAGAAAACTATATATTTTGTTGATTAAATCTTTATTACAGTCATGTTCATCGAAAGAGGTATTTAAATTTATTTCTGCTGATACGTATGCTCAATCAAATATGGAGTTATGTAAGCGTAACGAATGGAGTCAGGTAATGGAAAAAATAAAAAGTAAAAGAGGAAAGAAAGATGTAAATTAGAACTCAGTAGGTTAAGCCATATTGTATCTAGCTTCAGCAAATTATTTTTCATGTGTTCAATACAGGTCAAAGTTACAATTTATTATTTGAACCAACAACTTAAATTAGTAATATGAAAATGATTTAAAGCAGCGATTCTCAACCGGCTCCCAAGAGAAAAAATAGGTGGTACGCATTCTCCCAAGAGAAAAAATAGGTGGTACGCAAAGAAACAAAGTACTTTTAACTATTAAGTTCTAAAATTAAATACCCCAATATCCTGTTTACGTTTTTTCTCCAACACTCGTAAATTTATGCGATCTGACCTTTGTTCAAGGTCAATAGCTGCTCATAGATTTTAGCAAAGTAATCCCTTTTTATTTTTACAAATATTCTTTTACCCATGGATATAATAAAATTTGTCACCAATGATGTTTTTTAAAGAAGTAATAGAAATGGATGCTGTATTTAATAGGAAACAAAAGTAAGTTCCTATAAAAATATAATAATATCTTTTGAATTCCTTTAGCGTTGATAGATTTATTAGCGTGTCTACACTTTATGCGCCACCATTTCTGGGCTTATATTGCTCTATTTTCGATTAGAATAATTTTTTGCATCGATTTGCTGTCTCTAACAGTAGGTATTTTGTCTTCTTGTTGCTTTGTATTCCTTACTTTTCCACATATTGAGAATATCGCGTTTGTTTTTGAAGAAATCGTAATATATTGTGCATTTAACTGTTTGTGAAAAAATAATAAAACAAACCTAGATTTTCAAAATGGAAAATTGGTTAGGATTGACGAAGCAAAAAACTTATGATTCTTTGGTGATGGATCCAGAACAATCGACTAGCATTAAGAATATCGAAAAGAAAAGAAAAATTGTTTATAGACTCTGTGATTCAAAATTTAAATTGCATAATTGTTAATTTAGTGAATTACAATTGGCGCGCTTAGCCTATTTAGCTGATATTTTGAAAAATCCATTTTGTTCAAACGTACATGAAATTTTACCTCGTGAAGGGAAAGAACAATTGATAGAAATTTCCTGTGATCGAACTTTAACTGAAGATTTCACAAATAGCAGCACACTTGATAACTTTGGGCTGAACTGAAAAGAAAAGCATTTAAGGGTATTTCAAATAAATTTATTAAATTTTTATTGCCTTTTGGCACAACCTATTTGTGTTTAAAGGGTTTTTTTCCATTTTAAATTTAAAAAAAAAAAAAAAAAAAAAAAAAAGAACAGAAAATATTTGAAAACTACAGAAAAATACAGAACAAAATTAAAAGTGAAAAATCTATTTTATGGTTAAAACTAAATAAAATAAGACCAGACAAAGAAATTGATCTCTCTTAAAAAAGCCCAAATTTCACACACAATTTTAGAATTAAAGTTTTATAACTTAAATTTTGATAATTAAAACGGTAACGAATTTTTAACCTATTATTTTTATGTGTGAATATTTAATACATATAGACAATAGGTTGTGAAAATCGTAAAACATATTTTTTTAAATATTTCTATTGCAAACTGAAAAATAATTGTTGTAAAATGTAAAGTTTTCAGTTTTTGTTTAGGTGGTACGCGTTAGTTAAAAGATTGAGAACCGCTGATTTAAAGTATACTCGTACATGTTCATACACAGTTATTACTTCTTTGCAATGCACGCACCACGTTTTTAAAATTTCAACAAAACATTAAGGGAATCAACATTAAGGGAATTAAGGGAATCAAATCAACAAAACATTAAGGGAATCAACATTAAGGGAATTAAGGGAATCAAATCAACAAAACATTAAGGGAGCATTTTCTAGTCTGTTATAATTAACAAACGAAAAAGTGTTTCTGAAAATCAAATGCGTGATAAAATGTATAGTTTATTTATATTCATATATTAAAGTATATAGTACATAATATTCTGCATAAAGGCTAAATATCAAAAAATGAAAAATATATTACTTTAAGATAATAATGTCTTCAGCTTTGCCTGTAAATCAAGACTTATCCTTGCATTCTATTCGATTTAACTAATATAAGAACAAAAGTCAGAAACTCATGCAGAAAAATAAACTTAAAACTGTTCGAGTCGCATTCAGGAAAATAAAATTATAAGAATAAAGACTAAAGCTTAAACACAAAACTACAATTTGTATAGTTTGTTGCACAATTACGGTAAGGAGTCAATGTTCTTTAAATCAAGGTACGACTATGTTATGCTAAGATACATAAAATAATTTATTAAATTGTAATCTCAGAATAAAAAGCCTTAGCAGCAACTAAATTGAAAGAGGCCCAATATCTTTAAGCTAAGTATTACTTTTTCTTTAATTCATTAACTAATAAACATGGTGTTAGAGTCTGCAGTTTTCAAACGTTTTTACACGCAGAATTAAATAAACTTCCTGTTGCTAAAATGTCAAAAATATAGTAACTAAGCTTTCTGAGCCTAGGAAAAAAAGGCATCAACTCTTAAGAAGTTTTAAACGTCTAAGAAAGTACCGACAGCTTGTGAGATTATAGTCCTAGCAAAATAATATTATCGGAGAAAATGCTAAAGCTATAAATGTTAAATGCACCTGCCTACACAGTGATTCCGCTTGACTACAATGTAAATTCAAGTCTAAAAGTTATAAACTCTGATATTATTTGCAACGTCTTTTTTTAATCTTAGGTAAGTTTAAAATAAAGCAAGAATAAATTGAATAAAGTTAGCATTGCATACTACAAAAACAAATTAACGCCACCTAATGATGTCTATTGCAACTCGGTTATAACCTCCTGGGATGCTTTTTTAAAGATACAAAACCTAAATAATTATTTTTCAGAAGAATATACTTGTAGAATATGCATGCACATGTTTAAAAGTTTAATTACGTTTAGAAACTTGTATTCAATTGTTTCAGTTTAAAAATTTGTTGTAATTTATAAGACATATTAATTAGTCTTTCAAAGATTGACAGAAGGAACACTTTTGATGCACAACGCAATGAATCTCTGTTCTGTGTTTTGATTATGAAAATTGAAGAGGGAAAAGTACGATTCTGTTCGCGGAAGTTTACTCAAAATGCTCGGCAAGCCTTTCAAGTCTTAAAAACTGAACACAGAAAATTAGAAACTTGTTGCACTTTTTAACAATGTCGTTACAAAAGAAATCGCTCAACTGACCTTGTGGTGTCATCAGGAAGGCCAAGGAGAGTAGTGACAAGAGCGGCGCCCGCGGAAGTTTCTGCAACCTCTCCATTCCTGAGCAGCAGACTGCAAAAGAAGAGAAGTTGTAGATCAGTCAGGCAATGTCAAGCGCATTATACAGATCACTCTTTTTCGACATTACGGTGACTATAACTGGTAATGAGAGTTATAAATTACTCAGATCTTATATCTAGTTAATAAAAATCTTCTTTAACACTTATAATATTCTAGCTTACAAATAATATATATAGTTGCGTATTATGCTGTAAGAGTAATTCATTTAAATGTTCCTGCAAATCTTCTTAAGTATGCAATGAGAAACATATTTTATCTAAAATGTAAAGGATTTTTTTTTCTTCTCCGCTGCAAAGGGCTTAGTGAAGCAGCGAAAATTTCTGAATATAGGGCACTTGGGCAAGGATAGCCTCCGGAGTTTTCCAGCCGGTTCATCCATGACATGGTAATAGAGCTCAGTGTGCTGTCAAATGAAAACCGTTTTTTATTTTTCTAAACTTCCCAACTTTCAGAGCTTTCTAGACAATGTCTTAGAACAGTGTATTAACAGCTTTCCGTTATTTTTTCTATTCGTTTGCTGTTTCGGGCCAACAAATATTCAATTTAAACTTCATTAGTCTTTTCTTACACCACAATTTCAAGATCAAAGGCACAACAGCCGCATGAGGGACCATATAAAAGAAAATTACATAATAGTATTTTTAGTTAGATACTAAGCGCTCAAAATTACATTAGGACGTTTTTAATTTGATAATAGGTGAGTTGGTAATAATCTAATAATTAACTTGAGTAATGCCTCACCTTATTCTGTAAAGTCAGTTAGGTTAATTGAAATTTTATTTTAAACCTAATCTCAAAAATATTTTATTCTGAACATCTCGCTTGAAGGTGAATTTTGGATCTGATTGTAAACATTCTTAAAATTTATCTTACATGAATTGTATCATTTTTCCCTCGTGCAGCTCGTGATTAAAATTTTAGATTGTTCTTTTAAACCATAATTAATTGTTCCTAAAATTTTAGTTCTTGAATTTGTCTTCGGAGTAATTACCTCATAAAATTAAATAAAATTCATATGTGCCTTAGCTAAAAAAGGTTGAATGTTTTCATTGTAGTACACTTTTAGCTTCCGAAGCAAAGTGGGAATAGCAATGTTATACTGATATGTCAAAAAAAGAGGTTGATAATCTTCAACTATTCAAAGAGATATTAATAAATGTTTAAAACCTGCAATTTTTTAGAAAACTAAATCAAAATTATTAGTAGTATTTAAACGAAAGCAAATAAAGTAAAATTTCAAACCACTTGAAAGAAATTCTTTATTTCAGAAGATTTTTCGAACAAAATATTTAGCTGTTCTCAAATTCTGCTTTACTTAGCTGAGAATAAAGTCCTGCTGGATAATTTTTTAAAATCTCTTTACATAAAAATATCCATTCAGAGTAAAATTCAGATATTTCAGAAGTAGAGGAAACTAAGAAGAAACAGAAGTTTGATTTTCTTTTAGTTTCATATAGGATTAAGTAACACGTTATTGAATTGTTGAAACACTTCCGGTGAAAATAAAATTTCACATTTAATATTTTAAAAATTAATTTCTTTCACAGTTAAACTTTGATCAGAATAGAAAATCTTCCGAAATTTGTTATATGAGCCACTCGCATATAAACTAACAATCATAGCTGTAAAGAATTTTTGTGTGGTGGAGCATTTTGCCCCAGTGATTTACATAATAATGTTATAATTTTTCGGATAAAAGCTGAAAGAGATTAGATCTAACAACTTTACAAGGTCAATTCTTATGCCTCTTGTTTCGTTATAAATGAAGATATGTGTGCTTCTTATTAAATATAACAGTAGAAAATGTTTCATAGCATTTCAGTGTTAATAGTTAGTAATCCTTATTACCTAACACTGTTTATGAGTCACTGCCATTAAAGAGTGTAACAAGTGCTAACACGTAAAGCGTACTATCAATCTTAGTTGATAAAATGCGTTTCAAATAGACGAAAAACTTAAGCCATTTCTCCCCAAAACTATACTAATACAAATGCAGCCAAAACGTGACTCAATAGTTTTCCGTTCCACTGCTTTCCATTAAAGAAAGAGAAAATATTTCCAAAAGTTTTTATCCAAATATATTACTAAGAAACTGAATGGCTCATTAATTCTAAACATTTATTAAAAAAATTTACTTTTTTGTAACTGAAAGACGCGTCTCTAAAGTTGTGGTCTAGTAATCCTAATAAGTGTTGAATTAAGGGAAAAATAATTGTATAATAAATTTTTCCAACCTTCATTTCATTTAAAATTTATTATGCAAAATTACAGCAGTTGTAATGTTTCCTTTTTAAGTAACGAGGCTCAAGATATGTTATAAAATTTCATAATAAATTAACATCCTAATTGACAATTACTCCGAAGACATACTTTTTATGAAAGTAACGTTTCTACGCCACTGTAAATTAATGTGCAACTTTTCAAGGTCAAAATATTATTGAACATATATAATAACTGTAATTAACATATACATATATCATCTATTTCGATTTATTAACATATTTAGTTTAACTCTTTAAGGGATATACTGGATTTTGGTAAAATTATATCCTTGATTTATTTTTCAGCAAGCAGAGATTTTTTTGATGTTATCTTTGAAATGGTCGATATTTGGTGACATATATTTTACTACGTTCAATTTTATCTAATAAAATTAAATTTTAAAATACCTCTATTTAAGAAACGTGATGATTTTAACAATTACACATACCGTTTTTAATCAAGAAGACATACTTGTATATACATTATTATATGCTTCGACTTTCAGCTTATTTAATAGATGTATGCATAATCACCTATCAGCTTAAAATATGTAGAATATAATGTTACGGGTACAGAAATATTTATAAACATGCATCTAAGTTTTTCAGAAATATATGAATATTCTTACTTTCCTGTGATAGTCTCGGATCATCGTTAATCATCACATGGAAATAAGCTAAATGTTTGTAGCAAAATTAAGTCTAGAAATGTTATCTATACTCCTATGCTTCGTTGAAACTGTTCCATGTTTAAAAGCCTCCAAACACATACTAGATTTTTTTATGAGGAATCTATTTATTCTAAACTCATTAAAATCTTTAAAATGAACTTACTTATGCAGAAGTGTGTGAGAGTATGTATCCCAATGAAGTTTTTCCGTCGCTCCTTCCAGGTAGCAGCGGAATTTGTAATTCTATCTTCAGCTATGTAGTTTAAATAAAAAAATTGAAGACTGAAGTTGAAGACAGTCTATTAAAACATTCATTAAATCCAACTGAAAATTCGATATTGGTAGGCATAGCTGGATAACGTGTATCCGTGTTTGGTAGCAGTTTTTCACAGTTTTGACCTGTGTATTAAGAGAAGAATATTATTTTCTTAGTTCTGCAGAGAAACAAATCTTCTAAACTAGAAACCACGTGGCATGGAGTATCCGCATCCGCAGTCTGTTCGGAGTCCCGTTAATCTACGGTCGTTCTAACTTCAACCTCGTTTTTTTCCCTTTCCGTCAATTTTTTTAAGAAAAAAATTCCCTCTGCAATCCAGATTCTGTATGGTTTACAAGAGAGAATCAAATCAGCCTGGCAACTCAAAAGAAAGCAGGTCCGAGAGGTAGCTTTAGGGAACCGGTTCCACGTTAAGCACGAGCATCAAATTTGAGAGAGGAGTGCGCGACTATTTCAAATGGAGAATCGACCATGTGTGCCTTCGTGTGCAGCGTGACCTAAAAGTACTTCCAAAACCCTTAAGGCATTCCTCATTAAAACTACTGACTCTACGACTTACCCGATTCATTCAATGTGTGCTCTTTCCATTGTCTCGTAGGAATCGGAAACGAAGTTATTCCTTTTCTTTTTGAGCCTCTTACGCAAAATGTCCGAACAGTGACCCATAGTATTTCAAAAAGAGATCTTATGTACACATTTCTAATCACTAATTTAACTTCTATATATCAATTAACTGTGTTTTTGCGCTGTAAGAATAAAACAGAAAGAGATCTTTCGAAAACTGATCCTTTTTCTCCCTTATCCTTTATTGGTACAAGGTGTATAAAACTTCATTAAAAACCTTCACCAAGAAATTTTAATCACTACTTCTTTGGAATATGTATGCTAAAGCTTCATCAGACCTCAGAAAAGGAAAAAAAAAAAGAAATCTGATTATCTTTTGAAAATATAATCTGAAACAATCGTAAATCGGGTACTTCTTTTCTTGGGAAGACAGGGGAAAAAAATGCTTAAATAAAAAAGTCAACTTGAATGTAATCATCATATGAAGTTTAATTTTCTGTTTTGCTTTTTCTCTTCCCCAACGGTTGTTTGGGCTAGATGGAAAGAACCGAGCTAGTCTTCTTGTTGCTGTTTTTATTATTCTTATTTCTGTTATTTTTATTTTCTACCTGCAAATGACAAAAAGAACGAAACGACGATAATTGGAATTAAGAAGTAAAATTACTGGTGAGGAAAGAATGTATCTAGTGCTAATTATAAGGCAGTTTAGCTCAGTATTGTGTTACATGGTGGTCATACATACGTGCTACAGACAGGCAAACAAATAGTTTTTCCGAATAAAAAATACTTTTTTTATCTTTCTTTTCTTTTTATCCTTTTTTTTTTTTTTTTTTTTTTTTTTGTGTGTGTGTGTGTGTGTGTGTGTTGTGTGTATGTGTGCATATTAAGACGATTTCTTTAACTGCTAGACCTCAGTGACTGAAGTATTTTATTCATTCCATTCAGTATTAAATTCAAAATCATAATACCTGGGGTTCATTGACAAGCAGCTATTTGGGGATGTATTCTAATATTTCTCTAATTCTATTTATGATTTTTTAGGGTTTCGTATACTCTCGTAGTCAATGAAATTTCACCTACTTGAAGGAAATCGGTTTCTGTAGATGTATCACTAGATGCCCTTAGCGCTGGGTTATGACAACTTTTATCTTCTACTCAATAACGGATCTCGAAAAGTACTGAGAGGATTTAGTTATGATCATTTAAAGTGATGATTATTTATTTTATGTAAGTTAGGCGAAATGAATATATTAAATATATCTTTCTCGGACCTATAGGGCTTCTGTACTACATCAATTCCAAAATGAGCTCTGTCTACCGTTTCAAATCATCTAATATCATCCAAAACTCAAATGTCTGCTATTAAAATAGAAATTCCTTAATTTTATAGAATCTGAAACATCATCTGAATGTCGAAATGTTTTAAAGCTGTTGTGCAATCCACTTTGGAAAAAAGTGCACAAATCTGTTTGTCTATTCAAGCTTGTATGAAAGCATGGTTTCCAAAGATTGATTTAACTGCTTTTCAAAATGTAATGAAATTTGATTCTAGTTTTCTAATGAAGGTATAGTGACTCAATATGATATTACAGACATTAGTTAACTGAACTGTTACTAAGCCCACCCTATTATTAATGACAAATATAATATATGTAGTTCGATATTGTTCTTCTTAAAATATGTTATGATATTGAAATCCCAAGATAATTAATTCTTACTCAAGACAGCATCAAAATTTGTAAACCTGGAAACGCTAATTCTACGCACTGTTAATTTCATGTAACATCAATGAAAAATAATATAAAGAAAAAGGGTTTTCTACTTTTAAAGAAGTGTAATTAGACTTTTATTATTAATGCGTACTTAATTCGTAATCAGAATCGAAATGGTCAGCATCATATACAAAATTCCAGTTTATTAATTAATAAACAGAAATCCAGAATGTGAGATCACTTTGCTATAAATAAGTCGTACACGTCCCAAAATGCAGATTTCAAATATGTAACCTAAATAAAGGGGGAGGTTTGGTATTGAAAATTGTGGTTAAAATGAGACGGGGCAACAATGAAACTAGTACAAGTTTTGGCTTCCAATTTAATTGCATCGAGGGATGAATGCCGATAAAAGCGAGTAAAAGCAGTTTTAAGTTATGAGAGAGCTCAAAAGACTGCTGAAAAAGAGCAGCAACTCTTTGAGAAAATTTTCAATCTTTGCAAGGAGTTACTGCTTTTCTCCAAGCGTGCTGTCGCAATGAAAGTGCCTAGCGCTTTCAACTAGTATCTGTATGTTCAGCAGTTCGAATCCCAACGAGGGCATGATTTTTTATACCTCCTGCTTGGAAGAACCTAATGGTCTGTTTAATCTGTTATTAGCCTTTAATTAGAAGAAATTTCAAGTGACCATTCTATTCTTTGAACGCCCTTTCGTTCTCGATTTTCTCAAAAAATCATCCTCTTTAAGAGAGTATACTACAGCTCACAAAGAACAAACGTATTCCAGTTTCAATGCGTTAACTGATGACATTAAGAGAAAATACACTAAACTATTCTCGTCTCTCACCGCATTGACTGAGTATGCTAATGTAGCTAGACTGTGAAAAGTCAGTGCAGTCAGTAAGAGAAATGAGAAGGGAACACGAGTTATTAATATTTCATGATTAGTAAATTTATAAGGTATTTCTCCCGCCTTCTTAGCGTGGTATGGTGGTCTGCACGCTGGGCGCGTATTCCAGAGGTCCGCGGTTCGATTCCCGGCGAAGGCATTGCTCATTTTTCATCTTACCTGCTTTCAAAAAATACCTAATGTATCTACAGAAGCGCCCGAACTCAAAGGGTGGTAGATGATGATTCTCCACGCCCAGGATTTGGCGATTGGGTTTCCTAAACCCCAGTCGCCCTTTAAAAGGGAAGTATATAAGGTATTTCTCCCGCCTTCTTAGCGTGCCTTCATGATGTAGTGATTATCACTCTGGGCGCGTATTTCAGAGGTACGTAGTTCGATTCCCGGCGAAGGTGTTGCTCATTTTGCATCTCTTCTGCTTCCAATTAACCTAATTTCTCTACAAATTTTATTCCAGTCAAAAGCTATTTTGTATTGGATTTTAGTTCCCACATTTATATACATATTTTTTTAGCCGGATTCCTAAGCAAATCTATGTTCATGAGTGAACAGGATATTTTCCCATTTTTAACTTCTAGAATCATGTTATTAGTTATTGAAATTATTAAATGAGTTTACCTGCTGCTAACCTCTAACACCAATACATTAAAAAAAATGAATTGTATGTGATAAACCTAAACTCTGAACTGGAGACCTCATTCCTAAGTTTTTCTCTGAGTATGAATGCTGCGTCTCCTCATAGAAGTTTTAGAATTACGACAGCGTAGTACAAATTCTTTGATGATTATTTAGTTCACCCTAAACTGTTTGCTATGTCACAAGGCCAAAAAGTATGAATCGCTTAGAATCAATCGGCCACTGTCATTTCTGGTGAGGGCTATTACTGAACACTTAGGTTCGGTAATAGTCTTCATCACTTCTTCAGCATCAATGTGGTTCATTAAGAATCTTCCTCACACGTTTAAAAAATGACTAGCTCCAATTTTCGGTGCGTTCTAGAAGGATATAATCACATTTAAAATATCTCCCCACAACTAGCCGAGTAGTTAAGACCGCTGAATACTGTTAGTTCGACTGGGTTTTGGTTCGATCCGAGAATAACAGTCTGGCTACTTAGTTGATTTTCGTGGTTTCCCCATGTCTAACCTCAACACACGCCAATTTTCTTCAAAAGGTCCTCCCCGAAATCGCCCGTCCTCTTAGGCAGATATCCATCGTGGCTTTGCCATATTCAAATAATGTAACCCATCTTTAAATATCAATAAACAACAAGTTCTGTTAATTCAAGGTGAACAGTTTATAGATGCAAATTTTTCATAATTTTTTTTATCAATAAAACGAAATACTCAAAATGTTATAAAAGAAAAATTGCGCACATTAGGCAAGCTATATACTGCGAAGATATGACTAATGAGACGGTGAGTCAACAAAATTTGACATCTTAAAATCTACCCAGTTTCACCTAAAAAAAATTAATTTCAATAAAAACATTTCTAAGATTCCATAAGCTTTTCTTTATCTTCTAAATAATAATATTTCTCCTTCTTCAAATTTTATATGCATGCATTTAAAAAAAGTAATCTACGACACATGCTTCGACGTAATTGCGCATCTTTGGTTGCATAGATTATTCCAAAGATGTCTGGTAGCTCTACTCATTTATTATATTCATGTTTGTGATATATATCGTATGTAACACTTTAAGTACTTTAGTTTTGCTCTCTAAATACGTATACTTTTTTTTTCATCTAAATTATACTCGTCCACTTTGAATATTACAGTATTGTATGTCTTCCAATTAAAAAGCTGACATCAATCTTTAGACCTCTAGAGAGAACAACAGCCTAATTCTTACTTAAGCCGAGCAGGAAGGGGGCTTCAAATGTCCAAATAGATAAGACTGAACACAGTTCGTCCTGGGTTTAGTCCCCAGAGACTAAACGGTCTATCTACATGGATTTTCCTTGGTACTCTCCATGTAGTAACGTGAATACAGGCCAGTTTCACTTTGATAGCCAGCCATGAAGGTATCTTTCCGAAATCTGAGAATCCTCACTTGTTTTGCCAGGCTATTAATCCTCTCAATGGTTAGATTAGGTTAGGACATTCTAACCTAATCTAACCGTTGAGCGTCTTCTCTTAAAAGGAGACCAAAATCTGGTTTGGAAATGGTCTTTCCTTTCTCTTATTTTAAGACGATGCAACTGCAGATAAAAAAACTCAGTTAACGTTTTAAGGCATTTCTATTTCAATTTATAAAATAAAAATTACC